CAGGTAGAGCTTGGAGAAGGGAATTAAACTGCTGCTCTGGCAGCTGGCCAGGACCCTCAGCTAGAGGCAGATAAGCAAAGTCACTTTCACCCTCCTGTGTTCACATCTAACAGGCTGTTTCATCAGTGGTGGTGGGAGGTCCAATCCCAGGGTCCTGAACTTGGAGAAGCAAGTCCTCTACCAGTAAGCTATATATCCAGCCCCTAGTTTACATCTCTTCAGGAATGCCACCTTAAAGACTGTGCCCATACATACTTAGGACTATTTTGTACTGCCCTCCCTCTGCTCCTGTTATCTTTTAATCGCCCCTTACTTAATGCCCTGCACCTGGGCTGTGAGCAGACACTAGGCAGATAGTCTATTGGATGATGGAGGGACTAAGGTAGGTAACACAGCAATGCTGGTGAATAGGCATTCCTAGTGAAAAGGACCCTGACACAGAGCACCCTGGTGGAGCAGCCAGCTGGGGTTGGGAGTTGATGTTTGCACAGTTCTCCAGGGCTTACTAAGTAGACAGTAGGAGCAGGAAATCCCAGTCAAGGAAAGTAGAATGCATGTGAGCTTGAAATGGCATGCTGTCCTTAGAGAAAATGTGCATTGTGAATGAAAAAGGGGATCCATTATGTGGGGCTGAGAGTTTATGAGAGGTGGATGTGGACCACCTCACGCTGACCTAATAAGTCGTGCTTTGTAGTTTAGACTCCCAACAGAGTGTCAAGTGGCACTGAGGAGGGTTTTCATCAGGGGTCTGGTTTTTGTATAAAGCAGGAGGGCCCTTTGTCCTCCAACACTTCTGTAAGGCAGACAAGACACACTGTCACCTTTAATATCTGAGAACACTCAGGTCCTGGAGGTTAAAATCTTGCCAGAGGTCTCAGGAGCTAGAAAGTAAAAGGCCTAGAAGTGACTTGGCTTCCTTACTTGGGATTGCCATTCTTAGTAGTCTTCTAGAAAGCTGCCTGCTGCTGGGTGCAGGGTAGGCACTGGCAGGAGCAAAGTAAAGCAAATGGCCATTTATACGCTCTCACTGAAGGAGTGTGGTGTTCAGGGTCCCCACCTCTATGCTGGACACAGGAAAGGAGATGCCTTGAGAAGTTCCATGCTCACAGTTTGGCTCTGGCCTGACAAAGTCTGTCCATCACTGCGTCACTCCTAAATGCACAGCAACAACTATGGTGTGGTGCTAGCATTTATCTGTCAGTGGCTGGCTTCAGCTCTGGTGCTGGTCAGCTCCAAGTCCCTGACCCCAGGGTGACCCCCAACCCACAGCACAAGTCCTTTTTATCTGTGTTTTGTGAAGGGTTTTTTTTTTTTTTGAGTTTTTGTTTTGTTTTTTCTTAAAGCAGCAGTGCCTGTCTTTTTCACCAAGGAGCAGCGGTAAAGGATGGTAGCTTGTAGATCAGCCAAATCCAGATTATAATTCTGTTGCTGCCTCCTTAACTAACTGTGGAAGTCTGTGGAAATCATTGAATATGTATGAGCCTCAGGCTCCTCATCTCTAAAATGAGCAAAGCCAAACATACCTGGAAAGATGTCTGTGATGATTAAAATGTGCCGATGTTTCAGAAGTGCCTTGGAGCACAGCCTGGCACACATGAGTCCTTGGGTTATGGCAGTTTTAATTATTGTTCTTATCACTGTCACCACACCACTGCTGCTGCCACTTCAGTGAAAGAATGTTCTGGAAATAAAGACTAGTGGAAACAAAATGCCTTCTAGTCCTACTACCAGGATGCAATTGCCCTGCTAATTTTCTTCTGTTACCTTTGGAGTCCCTCCCCCAGTTCTAAACATACAAGATTTTATAGTCAGTTGGTTTTTTTTTTTCCTGTATGGAAGGAATGTATCGTAATGTTTTTCTTATATTTAATAGATTTCCCCTGCCCCCCAATTATAAGACTATTGTATAAGACTCAACAGAAAGCAAAAGAAAACCATATTCCCAGCCTTCCTCACCCCCAAACCAGAGACAGGCACTAATGTCTCTCCTCTCAGTCATTTTTATTCATGTTTTATTATAGAGTGAATATTGTATTGTGGATACAATTTTTATGTGATTTTTCCCAGTTCACATGATATTTGAAATATTTTCTTAGTGCAACCACCGTTCCCTAGGCTGCTTAATAGTTCACCAGATAGCTACCATAGCTTCCATAAAGATTTGCTTTCTGTTAGACAGCAAAGCTTTTCCTGGTCATCAGTCTAAGTTGCTCCCTGTAACAGACTTAAGGAGCCAGTCTCAGTACAATCAGGAAGCTTACGGTGAACTCTTACTCTGCCACTAGTCCCCAGTAAGTTATCATGGGAGATTCGGGTCAATGACAAATCACCTCAAGCTTAGAGACCGTCTGGAGCCACTTCTCAAGGGGGCTTCTTTGTCACTCTGTCAGAGTCCATGTTATGTGTGTAGTCCCCTGTATCCTGTTGAATCTGGGACATGGGATCCCAACTCTGTGCAGGGCAAAATCTAGGAGCCCAGGCTGCCCTTGTCACCCACAGCACTCAAAGCCTTGAGCACTTCCCTGTGATCTGAACTTTCATGTCCACTATCATGTCCATCAGGACAGGAACCTGTCAGATCACCAGAGTCACACTGGCTCTCCTATTTTTAATGTTTTAAATTGAAAAAGCACTTCATGTTTACAGGAATACTTTGCTTTTATGTATGTGTGTCCCTAGTGCCCATGAGCACCAGAAGAGGGTATCAGATCTTCTAGAACTGGAACCACAGACAGTTGTGAACCATCATGTGGGTGCCAGAAATTCATTCCAGTTCTTCTGGAAGAGTAAGCCAATGTTCTTACTGCTGAGCCATTTATCCAGTCTCCCCAGTCTTTTTTTTTTTAATTAACAGGTATTTGTTATATATATTTATCATGTACAACATGATAAATTTTGAAGTAAGTACACATTCCTAGATGATTTATGCATTATCTCACATACTTTCATTTTCTGTGGTGGGAAAGCTTAAGATACACTCAGCATTTTTCTTTTCCCCCTTCTCTGTCTCTGTCTCTGTCTCTGTCTCTCTATGTGTGTGTGTGTTCATGTTTGCATGTAAGTGAACATATGTGTATGCGGGCATTTATGTACATGTATATATGTGTACATGTGAAGCCCTGAGGCTGAGAATCATCTTTCGTTGCTCTTCTACCTTATTCACTGAGGCAGGGTCTCTCAAACCAAATCAAATGAAAAAGTTTTGCAGTCCACCTTGCTCTAGGGATCTGTTCTGGGGATCTGCCTTCCAGTCCTCATGCTTGCACAGCAAAGGCTTTAACTTCTGCCACTCAGCATTTTCAAGAAAATAATGTACTTTTATTAATTACAGTCATTTGTGGACTCATATGGATGAACCGAAAGAGCGCTCTGTTAAATGAAATAAGCCAGATGCAGAAAGGTTGGATGACCTCACTCTTGTGGAATCACCCCTGTAGATCATGAAAGTTCTCACACTCAGACTTGCCCTGGAACCCAGGACAAACCATGTCCTCTTGCCAAACCTCCTCTCTGTTCTCATACTGTAGCTGATGTACATGGCCCTGCCCATATAAGCTGAGAGTACCTGCCCCCTTTCTCAGGCATAGGGTTAAGTGAGCATCTTGATACAGGTCACACATGCTTCTTCAGAGTGTAGAACTCTTAATTAGCACTCCGGGAGCCATCTATGCTTTTCCACCCCTGTCACCTCCTCCTGAGACCCAAGGGGTAGAAGTATCTGCCAGTGTCTGGAGAGACTGGATTCAGAACCCTGAATGACCAACTGTTCTTACTCTGAGGCATTCTTTCTTTCTTTTATGCAATGGTGCTTGTATTCATTCTCTCGTTTGTCAGATGTTAGCTGAGCCCCAGGCTTCATACATTTCACAAGCGCAATGCAGAGGTGGGACACAGCTGTGTTCTCAGGGTACGTGTGCTAGTGCAGAGACCAGAAGAAATACTAGAAGACAAGATGCCCACTGCAGTGTGATGCCTGATAGATGGGCGGATGGCAGGAGTGCTTGAGTCAGCCTACACACTGTAGCCAGAGTTCAGTGGGTGCTCCAGGTAGAAAGTGAACAGAGCCTTCTTTGTAGGCAGTGGGGTGAGGCCATGCTGGGTGGACAAACAGGCATAGACTCAAGCACAAGAGAACACCATGTGTTCAGAAGCCACAGGGAGTCTGGACTGGAAGGGGAGGGGACAGAACAGAAGCATCTGCTTCTACTGACTTCTTGGCTCATTTTATCACTAAATGACAGTGATGGTCTTTTTAATTCAGTATTTGAAAACTGTTATCTTTATTGCTATCTTTTCAGTTTTTTAAAGTAACATATGCATTATAGAAATTTAGAAAAATGTACTAGGTGTGTCAGCCCGTTTCTGTGATCTCAGCACTTAGGAGATAGAAGCCAGAGCTTAAGGCCAACTTTAGCTACATGAGACACTCTGTCTAAACTTCTGTGTGTGTGAAGGGCTCTAGAGAGATGACTTGGAGATGAAGAACATGGACAGAGGATCCAGGTGCAATTTCTGGCACCCACAAGGTAGCTTACAACCGTCTGAAAACCCATCGCAGTGGATCCGCCATCCTCTTCTGACCTCTGTGGTTACTACATGCACATGGTGCACAGCCATGCATGCAGACAAAGCCCATACACGTAAAATAAAATGAAAAAGATTAAATCAAACTAATTAAAAATTTTAAGTAAAAAAGAAAGTTTAAAAAGTAAAAAGCAGAAAGAAAAATATCACTGGTAGTCTAATTAGCTAAAGACAACTTTAACATCTTGATGCGTTTCTATTTGATGTTTCTTCATGTATACAGCTATATTCATATAGCTATGAATATCTTATGATTATAATTTTAACCTTTTTATGTGATGCTCCTTTCTACATCTTTCTAAGATTTGCCAAAATGAATGTGCATGCCATTATAAAATAACTATAATCATAAATTTTACCGGTTGAGATATATATCCATTTTTTCCTAATGACACATATTTTCTTTACTTTTACAGATTTCTTGTGGCTCAGAACACAATTTGGCAATAATTAGTAAGTAACTTTTATAATGGTAACCGTTTATTGTGAAACCCATGTAAGAGAATTGGAGAAAGTCTTTGGGGAGCCAGGCTTAGTGGTATGCATCTGGAACTCCAGCATTCCAGAAGCTAAATGCAAGCTCTAAACCACTATATATACTGGGATATATAGTGAGACCATGTCCCCTGTGTGTGTGGGGGGGG